TACGTGCAGCATTCTTTGGTGTGCCCCTTATATATTTAAATATAATACATTAAATTTTTTAATTTTTTATCCCTAAAATTTAAAAAATATATAATTGAAAATGTGTAAAAACTTCTGAATTTAAGTATAAAAAATATTTATTAAATTACCAAAGGGTATTTCCGCGAAACCTTACCCCACCTTGACAAAAAATCAGATGTGTTATTTAACAAAATAAAAACTATATCTAAAGTCAAATAGTTTAAGAATAAAAACGGAAGAGTTTCAATACTCGATAAAAAAGATTTTAAGAAAATTTTAGAAAATAATATATACAATATTTGTGCATATTATAAAATACGTGCTTGTTTAAGGTTACTATTTAAGTTTTACACAAAAAATTATTACTATATGCTTTCATCCGAAATTTTACATTATCAACTTTAGAAGCCAACTTGGTCGCATTTGCCGATTTTCCAAGGTGGCGCCCGTTATGCGATTTATTACGTTATAAAAGGTTTTCTATACAAGTTTTTATTAACATTTTGTTTGAGTTAAATATCTAATTTTTTAGATTATTTTTGTATATAAACATATCTTGATATGAACCAACACTTTATTATCATGAAAAAACGCACCCTAAATAAAACAAAAATAACCTATATAAACAATATAATACTGGTTTTTAGTGACGCAAGCTCGTTACAAAGTGTATACTGTGTACACTGTTAAACTTTGCTACCGTTAACTGCAACCATCAAACAAATACCAAAAATATTATGACAATTACTGTCCTTTTATTTTGATACTCATATAAAAACGCGCTTTATAGCGGCCGAAAAAAGAGCGGCATAAGGCTTTAATGCGACCGACGCAAATAAGTTACTAAATGAAATTAAGGACATCCCATTAATTACAAAATATAAATATGCTGTAAAAGATTTGCTTCTCCAAAACTGTTTTTACTCTTTTAATAAATTTATAAACTTTTAATTTGTTTGTTATAAATAATGTATTTTAATCTTAATTTTACTATTATTTATGTAGGTATATTATTTATTTAGTGTAACCTCTTAACGTTGTCGATATCATTGTAATGATCTTATGGCAATAAAACTATTATTATTATTATTATTATTAAATGCAACATAGGAGGATGCATAATCTTGCACAAATCTTGGCTTGAGTTCAAAAACAGGCAAAACAGGTAGAGAAACAAGTGAGGGTTCTGAATTATTTATATTTCCATCTTGTTTTATATATAAAGTCTTCTGGGGTATCGAGGATGCCACTTGACTCATCCTCCTCACAATTTGAATTAGCTGAATGCGCAGCAACAAAGTTATTAACCAATAAAGATTTCATGGCGAAAATAAAGTACTCCATGGCTTTACACTAAAGAAAAAAATATTAACCTGATCATGGTTAAAATATCTTGACGCAACATGCTTAAAACCTTTGTTTATTGATGATTTTAATCCTCGCAAGGAAAAACTCCAATTATTTAAGGAAGCCGCATATATTTTTTTATTAGGATCAATTGAGGAAACATAAAAGAATTTAAAAAACTTTAAAGATTATACTAACACTGGTCACGAAACAAGATTTAACAAAATGCTAAGAATACCAAAGAACAGACTAAATAAAACTCAAAATTCCTTTGAACACCTAGGGATAACTTTTTTTAATAAACTACCATGTGATTTTAAAAGCAAAAATTTTAAAGCTGCTCTCAATAATTTATCAATAATTTATTTGTGGAAAATGTAATATATAGTGCCAAAGAGTTTTTAGATTTGTCCTTTTAGTAGTGTATTAGATAATAGTTTTGTATTTATATTTTTTAAATGTTTTGTATCTAGATTTGTTGTAATGTTTTGTACTATTATGTATTACTTAAACTTTTGTATCATTCTTTAAATTGTGTTTTATAACGTGCCTTGTAAACTTTGAAGCTAAATAAACTTATTTTTATTCTTATTCATTGATTCCAAAAAAGGGATACATAAATCCCAAAAAAGTATATAGCCAAACTTTTTTTTGCTACACTCCCGGGATGCAGAAAGGATCCATTGATGCTCCTAAATAATTTATCAAAAAATAAAAATAGATCTGCAGTATCAACAGCCTTAGGGTCCAGATAGAATTTAGATTCCTTACTGAGACCCTGGCTGTGCTCGTCGGTCAGTTTATAGAACTGACTACATGGACCTGTTTTTTATCAATTTCATATAGTCTCATCATATGTGACCAAGATGCCAGTTTTTCAATACCAGACTGCATGAATTTTAATTTTTTTGTCAGCAAATTGTTTCGAATACCTTTCATCAGGTGAGGAAAATGTACAAATGTACGATTTCCTCAGGAGATTAGTTTGTAGCTCCTGCATTCCTTACTTCCCTAAATGAGTCGACGGAGTTGTATCTTCACAAAAAGTAAAACAAACTGGTTGTTTCCACTTTTTGTGAACCCCCTTAAGTAAAAATACTAAGGCATGGTCAGCAAGTAACGCAGCTCTATCAGGACCACCATAATCAACTAATATCTCCAAAACATCTGCCTTTTGATTATATTGCAGACCAGCATCTGGAGCAATTTCGTCAAACATTTTGTAAATTGGTTTAATTTTTTTGACAACAAATTTTAAATTATCAAAGATATATATATATATATATAAACTAGTGTTAATTCCTGTTCTAAAAGGTTTAAGAGGGTTGATAAGGTTTTTCGTAAAGAGAATCTTCGATAAATATTACACCCACTTTGTTATTATAAAGAAAGTGCAAAAATTTGATCGTCCAAGTTGAATCTCCTACCTTTGGGTTTATATTTTTGCGTACGTTGCTGCAACAAGAAAAAAATGGCAGTAGTCTCATTCACATCTTTCAAGTCAGAAATAAATTTTTCTTGGCTACTTATATACTTTAGTTTTTTTTTCATTGACAAGTCTAGCTACCTTCTGCAATGTCCTGGCTCTATTATAAAAAGCATTTTATTTTGGTGTTAATTACTTTTGTCGAGTAACACCACCAAATTGCAAAAGGCTGACCCTTTTCTTTTTTGTATCAAAGGGGCATCTAAAAAACAAATAAACACGTGTTTAAAACATTAACATAATATTATATTATTGTGCTTTTACAAAAACATAGTCTAAAAATATTTTGCTTATTATTACTAATTTAAAATAATCAAATCATAAAATCTTATAAAGGTAAACTTGTGCTGTTTTAACCAATTGATTTGCCATTTTAAATGACACATTATCTTATTACATAAACAATTACTGCCTCAAAAAATTAATTTGAAATATTAGTGTAAGTAAATTTGTTGTAATTCTAAAATATTCTGCTAAATATTTTTTTGTAGTTAAGTGTTTTAAGTAATAAGTATAAAATACTAAAGAACTAAAAATATAGTTTTTGTCTTTAAAGTACAAAAAATATATTTGCTCAGTTGCGACGTAAATTTTCCAGAAAAATTGACATCCCAAAACATTTCCTCATATAAAATGGGTTTCAAAAATAATATTCTTACCATCAATGTCAAATACAAAGCTGCCTTGTTCATAAAAATCATCTAAAATTTTGATTTTTTCTGACAAATGGGTTTTGTAGTCTACATGAACGGCATTTCTTCCAGCGGATGTTCGCAGAAAATTTGCTAATATTCTCATTGCGTTGTTTGATGTTCCCATTCTAGTTTGATACCTATCCAAACTGGAATGCGAAAATCTTACCTTTTTGTCTTGTTTGGGTTTAGTTGATAACCTTAAAGTCTTCCCTTTCGGGACCAGAATAACTGAAGCATTTTTGCGAGATTTATTTACTAGCGATTTCATTACAAAGGAAAGAACTTGATCTTGATTTTTAGTTCGAATATTTTAAATTATACCCAACACATTTTCATTAGCTTCAGAAATCGTAAACATGTGTTTTTTCCTTTTCCTATGTCAGAAAAGCAAGTCTTCGATATTGTTTGAAATAAATCCACAGTACATATGTATAATATATATATATATATATATTAGGGTGGTCCATGCTTCTATGGCGAAAAAAAAAAGTTCAAATAGAAGTCACGCCACCCCCTTGTTTTGTTACACGTACCATTCCCATTATGTGTTCAAAATTTTAGCCCTCTATCTTATATACAAGGGGGTGCTCATCGACTTTGAAATATCAGAATTTTATGAAAAAATCCTTAAAAAGAACTAGTCAGGATATTTAGTAAAAAACATAAAATATGTATCAAGAGGAAGTTTTTGTTATTCAAAAACAGTATTTAAACACACCCAAAATGTTAAAAACAAAGCAATACTTAAAATATTATTTATTACAGTTCTTTATTCTCAACCTAAAACTAAGTTTGTTAGCACTTTTTTGGATGTTTCAGTAGATACGATCTTTCTGTTTTGTTCAACGACTTGAAGTAAAAATTGTTTTTCTTCCTCATTCTTAGTGAGTATCGTATTGTAATCTTCAAATAATTTTACACCCCTCTCCGCAGTGTCGTTAACCACACGCAAATTTCTTATGCAACTTTTACCTTGAAGGTAATTAACATTATCACACCAAGTCTCAGGAGGTAATTGCAAAAATGAGGCCTTAATATCTAGAACTGAGAGCGTTTTCAGTGTTCTTTGCGATGCAAAGTCTTCTAATGTGGCTTCAGTGGATAGTTTTTTAGAGTCACCTCGTACTAAACGACAACCACCGTCAACATCCATTCTTTGAACAATAGCCATTTTCTCCCCATAAGACAGCTTGTCGGAAAACAAGGCAAAGGCAATTAACTCATCGGACAAGTACCACAAGTGATGCTCTAAAACACCCCTTGCTGCCAATTAATTACGAATATCCTCAAAAATAAAAAATATAAATTAGCTATTAAACAAACCTTCCCTTCTCTTAACAACCCAATTAATACGTTCAATGCTTGTACATATGTAGGTTCCAACATGAGACATGTTTCCACATTTTTCAAAGACATTAATGTCAATATCGCGTTTAAAACTAATAACAAGTATGTTCATAAAAAATAACAAAGATAAGTCTAATAGAAATAAGAAGTCAGGCGTATACCAATTAACGTGTACAGATTGTCCTAAAATAGGACAAACCGGCCGTAGTTTTATTACTAGAATTAAAGAACATCGGAGATCATATATTAATCTAAAAGTTGATTCAGCCTATGCATCACATCTTATTACAGAAAACCATACTTTTAATAACAACTTTAAAATATTACATTTGGAAAACAAAGGTATGAAATTAAATCTACTCGAATCTCTAGAAATTAATAAACTTAAAAATACTAAGAATATTCTCAATGATCAAATAGAAACTAATAATTCACCACTTTTAAATCTATTTTAATTTTATTAACATATAACAATAGCATTATATAAAATATTCACACTTTTATAATATTTAATAAACAAACAGATTAGGTTTTTCCCATAAGGTATTTCTGAATGTTATCCTAGTTTATTATTATGTAACACAGGTAGATGTTAAATGATTATCCTTACCTAGAATACCAATATTTTTTGTTATATATATTTTGTATTATTTCTAGTTTTAATACATTCTGAAGAAGCTACAGTGTAGCGAAACAGCTGTCAAAATTTAATAAATTTCGTGAAACTTTACAACAAAATTGTTTTTTATATCTACATAAAGGATTTATAGTTTAAACAATTCGCGTTAAAGTTCAATCTAATTACTACCTCAGCTTTTATCAAGTCAAAGGACATACGGTTTCTTTCTTTAGTATATAAATCGTTTAGACTAAATACCCTTTCACAATAGGCATTGCTTACAGGAATGGACAATTTTTTTTTAAATTTTTAAGGTCGGTTTGATCGCATTTGTTAAAAAAGTACATCCAAAGTTTGTCAATTGACATATTCTTGTCTTTTGGAAGATGTTGAAATATTTCACGAAGACAGCAGTACTCTGTATATAAGGCATCATTGTAAATATCCTTTGAAATATGAAGCACTTCAGGCAATTCGAAGAGTTCTTCTCACGTAAACAAATGTTCACCTTTTAGAGACAATACGGCCCGCTTTTTATATAAACAGTTCTCAGAAAAATCATAGCGTTGTTCTAAGTATAGAATAGCTCGTTTTAAAAACTTCAGCTTCGTTACAAAAACGGGTTTTCTAACTATCGGAAATAGTCTTTAAAATAGTTTTACTTTTGCTTCCGAAAAATGTATCTTCAAGCCTGTTTTTAAGGTGGCTTATTAGCTTTCTTATTACACTGTCAATTTCCAAGACAGTGCATGTGTCACTTTCCAATGCCAACATATTGCATGCTGAAGTAATGTGGTATTTTTTAATGACAGCCGATTGGTGTTTACATATTTTTCCTTCAGGACAAGAGCACATACAAATTTTCATATTAAGATAATATTCTGTACTGGTAAACGAACTTAACACTGAATACTGGAAATTATTTAATTCCTTTATGTTGTCGGGGTTTACATCTTTATTATTTGCTAAATATTTTCTAATATCTACTTTTTTCATCACTACATCCAATAATCTTTGTTTATAATAGGCATTAAAATTACTTGTGATAAAATCTACTAATTGAACAAGGTTATAAGCCTTTGTTCTTTCTAACGGAATGTCCTTAAACAGTCTAAATATCACTTCAACTATTATTATTCGTATTAGACCCTCGAGTACGAAACTATTGCAGAGCACTCCGTGATGTCTGAGGAATGAGTGCTGTCGCCCTCTTACAAACGAAGGTCTTCCGCGGTGAACCACTCCGCGAGTGCTGTGCCCCTATGGTCGTCCACCGGTGATTCCCACAGCGCCCATTTGGTGTTGAAGTCGCCTCTAACGAGGACTGCCGTGTTGCGCCTTCTCGTTCTATATTCCCTGCGTAGCGTGTCCAGGTAGCTCTCGAAAGCCCCAAGATCCACATTTGGAGAGATGTAGCACCCAAATATGGTGATGCTCCCAATCTTCATCCAGACGACCCTGTTACCTCCGCTCCCGCTTGTACCTGTCAATTTGTTATTTAGGCATTTTATAGCCACGTTCGCAAGGTTGGCGCAGAGCCAGCCCCCCTTCTCAACTGTTTTCCTGTTTGGTTCCGATACTATTACAACATCGATCTTTTTTTTAGCCGCATTTTGCAGGATCAGGTCCAAGGCTTCTCTGCTCCTGTTTGTATTACATTGCAGGAATTTTATTTTGTAGGCTGGTTTTTATCCTCTTTTTTCATGATTGTCCTCTCCATTGCTTCCTGAAGGGCCTGTCTGTATTTAAGACACTTAGTGGAGTCTGCTCTGTGTCCTTCCTTTTCGCAGGTAAGACATCTCTTCTCGTTTGGACAATCTTTGACGACGTGTCCCTCTTGTGTGCATTTGAGGCAGGTTTTCTTGTTGTTAACCACCTTCTCCTTGCAGTGCCTCGCTACGTAACCCATTTTTTGGCACTTGAAGCATCTTGGGATAGAGATGTTCTCTTCCACCGTGCATCTAGACCAGCCAATATTTATCTTCCTCATGGCGAGGATGCTTGCTGTCAGTCCTCTGAGTATGGTAACCGTCGAGAAAAAGCACATTTGCTATAATTTGTTGTCATATTGCATTTAATATTGATACGTCACTCACTTTATCGTTTTCAACTCTTTAAGGTCTTTCAGTTGATACCATAGGGGTTGACAAAAAGTACATTATCCGACATCTTGTGGCGGCGGCCATTTTGAAAATATTACAAGATTGAGTATTGCGTATTGTAACCCGTCAAAGGTGTATACAAAATTTCAGCAATTTGGTTGGGGGGAAATTCAATTGTAAGATTTTACCTAAACAAAGAAACATACAAACATTGCAAGTTAAATAAAAGCTTGTAAAAAATCTTTAAAAACAGAGGGGCAGTTTCGGGCGGCTAATTTTTTAAAATATGTCTTTAATACTAAGGACTTTATATTCCACAATAGTTTTTAAAGCTTAAAAATGTTTAGAAATACATCAAAACACCTTGTGAATATAAAAATTTGTTATATATTCAACACCTACGTTGCCTACCGTAAATTAAAAAAGGGTGCATATCTATTAGAAAAAAATAGGATTACATAAGGTACACCAATCATATAAACAAACCTTTGCATAAAAAAACCACAACAGTTTAAAAAAACAAAAAATCTTGGCACATCGAAAAACACAAATCACTTAGGGGAACTAGGGGCAAGACGGGGACGCTAAGCATATTATATCAATAAAAATAAAACCAAACAATCAAAAAATAACATTTATTCGAAAAACCCTTCTGCTAACATCCCTAATTCATTTAATGTAAAAAAGTTGGCTCAACTTACACCAAAAAAATTATAAAAATTATTAATTAAAATCAAACAATTGTCCCATCTTGCCCCTTACGAGGGGTAAGATGGGGTAGCCTATGGGGTAAGATGAGGTAAAGGGCTTATTTACATAGATCACATATGTAATATGTAATCTTGCCCCTTACCAGGGGTAAGATGGGGTAGCCCATGGGGTAAGATGAGGTAAAGGGCTTATTTACATAGATCACATATGTAATAGATTTCTTCGGGGCAATCTTCTTCCACTCCAGCGCAAGAATTGTGAGACCACTTTTTACATTTTTGACATTCAATCCATCCTTCAGTGGACTCCAAATATACTTCTCCACAGTATAAACATTCTGTGTCATCTCCAGCTGATGTATTTTGAGGCGCAGCATATTTGTTTTTTGTTTTCTTTTGAGGTTTTTTTTTCATCTCAGTCACTTTCTGATTCTTTTTTCCTAAAGAATCTGATAAACATTCTGTGTCATCTTCACCTGATGTATTTAGAGGCGCAGAATATTTATCTTTTGATTTCTTTTCAGGTTTTGTTTTCATCCCAGTCACTTTCTGTTTCTTTTTTCCTAAGGAATCGGATTTCTTAGTATCTTCAAGTTCTCTTTTATATGGCGTGGAGGTAAGAATTGCCGTCTTGCCTCGACGGTAATTCTTTCTCTTAGCTTTAACTTCTACACTGGGTACAGGTATAATCTGTGCTGGTGAATAGAATTGAAAGCTGCTATTTAAATTACGGCAAGCTTTTCTTACAGGAGAAGGCAAGCGGACTATTTTGCATGGAGAATCACATGGCGATGGGGTTTTTTCCAATGCTGTATTAGACAATGGCCTAAGGAGAGAACTCGAAGAAAGATCATTAGAATCATCATCTGAACTCTGGTAGCAAGTAGACGGAAGCACACTGTTTGTGGTAGTAAGAATATTTGTTACATGCGAACTCAAAGGAAGATCGTCAGAATCATCATCTGAACACTAGCTAGTAGACGGAAGCATATCTTTCTTTGCTGTAACTTGTTTTTGAAGAGACTGATAGAAGCTGGTAGACAAAATCTTTTTGACATCAGTAATGATTAATTTTGTCTGAATATCTTGGTTCTGATGGCTGGTAGATGGAACAATGTCTGAGGAGGTATTTACAATAGCTTGCGGTTGTTCGTCCTGGTTAAGATTTATGTTTGTTGTTTCGGCAGCAAGAAAATCGGCTTCTGTAAAAGTCTCCGAGTTAAATGGCCATATTCCACATTTACGAAATCCATTAATGGCTGTTGACATTGTAGCGGCTTGTATAAAAGCTTTTCCAAAAATTTCGCTTATTTGGAACATGCTAATAACCCTTCCTGGATGAGACCTAAGCCAAGCTGTTGTGGCCTGGTCGTAATATACACTCAATGGCTTCATAAATGAAACATCCAGTGGCTGAAGCCTATGCGTACAATGAGGTGGGAAACAGATAATAATGACCCCATTTGCTCTAGCAGTGTGTAGTATGGCCGTCGAGTAACAGTAGCACAGGGTTGTCTTTGCTTGCCCTACTGAATTGGATGAAACTTTTGAACCAGGACACAAATATATCTGTTATCATCCATCCTCTGGGATTGCAATGAGAAGTTACTCCTGGAGCTGAGTTATTTAATAATTCTGGTTTCATGCGTTTTCTAGGAAAGATTATCATCGGTGGCATATAGATTCCAGCAGAGCTAACACAAATTTCGACGGTAACTGTTTGTCCGCGTTCAGCTGACGACCTTCCCTTGCGTGAGATTATTTTTGATTTTGTTTTTGAAACTGAGCAGATGCCCGTTTTATCGCAGTTATAAATATTCTCAGGTCCTAACTTATATTTATCAAAAACGTCTCCCAGAAGCTCATAAAATTTTCCAACAGAGACCTTGTTGAAACCCATAGCTCTGGCAGCTGAGGTTGCTTCTGGTTTTCTTATGGACAAGTCACTGTGGCGTTTTAAAAATCCTTGGACCCAATCAACACCCGCTAGTTTGGTTGTTGTATTAAACCTATGTTTCTTACCA